TAATAACCTTCACGTGGGCTTCTATGAATTCTATTTTTCATTTTTGTCTTAGAGACAAGACGTGTGGAGTCTTCAGCTTCTCGAGAGCTTGAGTGGTTCAAAAGCCCCTGTATCATCCAGGTGTAATGCATTCGTTTGCCGAGCAGGTCTCTTTCCATGGGTTGGAAGTGAAGGCCCCATTGTTAAATCAACTGCATTAGTACTACTCACACGGTTATATGCTCAAACCTTTATTCACTTCTAGTATTAAAAGAGTGACGTGTGTTTAATTGAAAAAGTGTTTACACACATCACATGTCATTGCTTACAACTGAGACCCAGAAGAGATCATATTTGAATATTGAGAGTAGGATATATACATTCCATGTTTGGTCCATCTATAAAATAAATTTTCCAGTTTTTAATTATGCCATTTACCTGAAATGTTGGTCATTCATATCAGGGCATATGATGCTGTACGCGGAAATTCTCATCTAATGAAACTAATTCCAGCAGTTGGGATTCTTGCATTTGCGACATGGGGGCTTAGACCCCTTCTCAACTTTACCAGAACTACTTTGTTTGCGGTGAGATGTGATTCTCTCTTATATATTCCTTCACTTTCGGTTCCTAGAGTACTCCGTATAGTTTATTCCTTGTGGATGCAACTTTGATTCCAGAAGGGAAATGATGCAAACTCACAAAAGAGCAGCATGCAATACATTGTTGTGTCATATCTTCAGCCTTTGCTGCTTTGGTGTGGAGCACTCCTTTTATGCAGGTGGACAAGATTTTTGTTTCTTAACTAGTTATCTGTTTTATGTCTTAACTAAAACTAATATGGAATTGTCTCTCAGAACATTGGACCCGATAGTATTGTCTTCAAGTGCAAGCCAGGCTATTAAAACTCGCCTTCTTAGCTTTGCGCGTTCCATGTCAACGGTGTTGGCGTTTGCCTACTGCTTATCAAGGTGAGCCAGAGTTTATGTATACTGCTAGTCTGCTTCTGTTAGAGCACTACTACGTTTCACTATTAAAGTACTTGTCTACGAATAAAAATTTCAAAATACCTAAATTACCTTTCTGTAAGCGCAGCATTATGTTCTTTCAATCAGTTGGAAATAGGGGATAATTTTCTTTTGTTTTAGTCCTTGTATATCTGCAAATTCTTTGCCTTGTTGAGTTCTAAATGTGTTTTTAGTTACTGAGCATGTTATACGATGTCTTTTCTGCAGTCTACTTCAGCAAGCGCAGAAATTTTTCATGGAGACAAATAATCCTGCCGACACCAGAAATGTATGTCTCCCTATCCGTAAAGGAATAAACTCATTCAACATATATGTATATACAAAAACTCAATTGGCTGCTGCACAAGTTGTACTTGAGATTAGATGATGTATATTTTAGGTACTATGGTTTCTTCGGAAGTATGTTTATCTATTTATTGTTATGACAGATGGGTTTCAGTTTTGCTGGAAAAGCTGTTTACACTGCTGCGTGGGTCGCTGCTGCTTCATTGTTTATGGAGCTTTTGGGTTTCTCTACCCAAAAGTGGCTAACTGCTGGAGGTCTGGGGACAGTACTGCTCACTCTCGCTGGTCGTGAGGTGAGTTACATTCTTCTGTGAAATGCTTTCGCATACTAAATCTTTTTTACAGTGGGAAATAAAACCTTTTGTGTATGGTGCAGATACTTACTAACTTTCTTTCAAGCATTATGATTCACGCGACACGGCCCTTTGTTTTGAATGAGTGGATACAGACCAAGATAGGAGGCTATGATGTTTCTGGCACTGTAGAGGTCCGTTAGCTTGTCAATATATATCTGCTATCACAGGCTGCTTCTTAGATTGGTTCTTTTTATTCATAATTTTGTCACGTACTTCAGACAGTAGTCTTACTTTAAATATGATTGTTTTCCATGGAAATTGACTTCACTTGTATTTCAGCATGTTGGTTGGTGGTCACCTACAATTATCAGAGGTGATGACCGTGAAGCAGTTCATATTCCTAACCACCAATTCAGTGTAAATATTGTGAGAAATCTAACTCAGAAGACACATTGGCGGATCAAAACACATCTTGCCATCAGTCATCTTGATGTCAGCAAAATTAATGTGAGAAAGTATTCTTGTTTACAAATGCTTTTATCCGTGTACTTTTAAAGTCTGTTGATGTGACAAGTGGTTGTGCTTTTCTTCAACTTGACAGAATATCGTGGCTGATATGCGCAAGGTGTTGTCTAAAAATCCTCAAATCGAGCAGCAAAAAATACACAGAAGAGTCTTTTTGGAGGAAATAGATCCAGAGAACCAAGCCCTTAGGGTAAGAAGATGCAATTTTGTCAACATCTAATATGTCTGGTTCGCGTTAACCAGATTTAACATCTATATCTAATTTTGTTGCAGATCCTAATATCCTGTTTTGTAAAGACTTCACGTTTTGAGGAATACCTTTGTGTTAAGGTATGCAAAAGTTAAACTAAATAGACACTTCTCTTCACCTAAATGTATTTCTTTTGGCTCTATCGTTCAAACTGTGCATTTCACCTTAGAATTGTATACAATCTGGTGTCACACCTGTTTTTCTAATTTTTATTCAATCATTCTCCCATACATTGTGTTGTGTACTGTGTCAGTGCGTGCCTCTCTGTGCCTGTGTCACACATGTGTGTCCGTATGTGTGACATGTCATGTGGTTATATACTTATTCGCCATGATGGAATCTTATGTACTTACTAATGTCGTATAAATGTATTTTCTTAAAAACAGGAAGCAGTGCTCCTGGATCTTCTCAGAGTTATTAGGCATCACGGAGCACGTCTAGCAACTCCGCTTCGCACAGTTCAGAGGATGCGTAACGAGGCTGAGGTGGATAGTGCAGCATTTTCAGACATAGTTTTCAACCAGGCAGCTATGAACCGTAGATTCATGCTGATTGAGCCATCCTACAAGATCAACAGCGATAACAGCGCAAAGTCTTCCTTGCCTAACTCAGTGCAAAAAAATGAAGAAAAGGATCCTGAAGGAGAACCACCGGAATTCAAGACTGAAGCAGAAAACAATGGATCAGTTTCGGTTTCAGAAGCCAAAAAGGAGGAACCAAAAGCAGGTCTTGCTTCCAACTCCAGTACAGGTCCTAAAGATACCACAGCCTCAACTTCGCAACAGCCAGAAGAACAGAAGTCAGAAGAAAAGAAGAAAGAGAGCACCGGAGAGTCGAATAAAGCAGAGAAAGAAGACGTTTCTGATGGAGAAGGTGCAACAGAGCAGACACTGAAACCAAAATCAAGACAAGGAACAGAAAAGAGCAATGGAGATCAGAAAGCTCGAGATGGTGGTGGTGGTGGATCTGGTGCCAGTTCTTCGTTGGAGGAGAATATTGTTCTCGGTGTTGCTTTGGATGGCTCAAAACGTACACTCCCGATTGATGAAGAACTCGAGGCATCTGGTGTGTTAACGGAGTCTGAGGAACTTGGTATTGGATCGGTGGAATGAGTCAAGGAGAAGATGTATAAACTTTGTGTTCCAAGCAATTTAGTACATTTGTAGAAAGTAAGAAACGGAAATGGAGGAGTGAGCGCGACGCTCTAATTTTTTTAAAGCCTAGAAGGTTTGCGCCATTTCGTCAGTGTAAATAATCACTATTCACAAGTGACTCAGAAACACTAAGGTTGTTTGTTTCAAGTTTTTAGTTTGATGTTCTTTTGCGTTTGAAAAATTCATCCGGATCAAATTGATTCATTAGCAAAATACTCTTCAAAATTAAGGGGGACTCTTTCCAGAAGATGTATGACATTGTACATTAGAAACTTTGATGCTTAAAGAGCTTACAAAATTAATCAAGAAGACCTAGATAGGTAACAGGATTTAGATCGCCTGAGATCAGCAACCTTAAAAAAACCATGTTATTATATTATACCCGTGGAGATCAACTATAAACTCTATATAAGTATACATCAAAAGCCTATCAGATAGATGCATCATCAAATTTGTGACTGGAACCAATGGTTGTGTTCGTTTTACACTTAATGTATTGAAAATCTATTACGAGTTTCTTATATGAGTTAGTCAAAGGTATACATACTGCTGTCTTCGAGGAAGAAAATGTCGGCTATAAATATAAAAAACCAAGTTCATTTAGACAACATTCACAATCACATATAAATCGACACAAGAACTCGAATTTATTTAGTTATATTGTTCTTGTTAAGTTCTTTACGCTTCACGTTTTCATTGTCTTTTTCTTTGTAGGTACCTTTGATCCATCAATAAATGTCTTTTAAATAACTTACCATCAAATTCGTGCCTACATCTTGTACGTGCTGAATTCAGATTAGATTAAAGAACTGAAGATGTCTGTTGGGAATTAGAAGACAAGACCAAGAAACATCAAAGATGGCTGGAGACAGATTTTCAACCTGGCATGGGCACTACTTTGCCAACAGGTCCGTGTCGAATTATATTAGGACCCTATTCAAAAAAGAGTTAACTATATATTTAATGATGTAATAAATTAATTTTAAAGTTAATATCTTTATATATACATATTTGCGGTTTTCTTTAAATTATAAACTATAAATTTAAAAAGAGTATATAAAAGTTTGCTATTGTAAACTATATTTATATATTTATTTTTGAAAAAAATTTAGTATTTTTTTATTTTTAGATTTTGGCTTTTTTCGACTGTTCTAGTATAACATGTTGTTAGACAGCCTGCTTGGCAGTCACGGATCTCACCACTATGGACCATGATGAAAGATTTAATGGAGCGCTGCATATAAAGTAACCAACAAGTGTTTAGATATCCTAGCCGCCACTGTCACCCCACCTGCTGCAAATGACGTAGAACCCAAGACCGCAAGAAGGAGACTCTTCCAAACAAACAATCATGTAAGCCAAGGAGCCGCCCAAACAAGAATCCAGAGGGCTTTGACACTTTGTACTTATATATGTAATCATCATATCTAGATAATAATAAAAGTTGAATTCTAAGCATATAGCATTTAGCTATAAGTCATGATCGTACTACAACTTACATATCATAAAAGTATGTGGCAGTTAATTTACAAACTGTATTTTCGCTAGAGAAGTCACAGTAGTATCAAAGTTGCGTCTTCAACTCTTCTTACACACTGCACATTTTGGTGCATGTAGCGGCTTTACCTTCTTCTATAAGAATATGGACCATAGATTTAACGACTTCATTGTGGACAATACCAGATTTCTGTAACCAATAACAAACGTAAAGAGGGAGAGGAGAGATTAGGCATGATCTACTTACTTAACCGAGTGAAATCTAACAAAGTATTGAGCATCTAACCTCGGGGTTTTGGATGAGATCTTTGAGAATGGAATGGAGTGTTAACCGGAGCTCTTTGAATAAAACAGCGGTTTGAGCTGGCGCTGCTAGCTTTAACCACCCATCAATGGTGACTGATCCACTCTGTAATGAAAGATTAACTTTTATAGAACACACCAAAACAACAGATTGAGTCTACAAATACTCTATGTGGTAAAGAATACCTGATGATGAACATCGACTGAGCCACCAAAGAGAAGAATGGAAAAAGGAGAAACAATGGTTGTATCTCGCAGATATACTACTTTCTTTGATTCAACCTACAAGAAACAAGAAAGTGACTATATTATTTGTGATTAGATATGTTTACACCACGCTATGCATTCTGACAATCATACTGAATGTTGTTCAGTCACCCCAATATAATCTTTATGGTTTTAACATGAAGCTAGATTTGGGAGGCAAGTAAAATCACAGAATAAAAGTAAAAGCAAATGCGTCAAATTAAGACTAAAGTTACCTTATCAAGGAATACAAGGAAAGGGTATTGAAACGCTTTGCAGTTTTTGTTAATAGAGGTTGGATGGATATGGACTTCCCTTCTTCCATCATGCCATACTGCGTAGCGCTGTGTTTGTTTTTCTGGCTTTGCTAAACGATTAACCAATCCTTCTGCGATATTAGGACATAGCCCCGCACATAATATAGCCTATACAAATTGGAAACTGAGCTTAATGTCCTCCACGCGGAAAATATCCGACCAGTAGAGCAGCAGATGTACGTTTACCTTAACAACTTCAGGTTCTTGTGAATACATATTGAAAGGTTGAGTTCTGTCAGAAAACCAAACATCAAGATTCTCCTTCCTTCTCTGCACGCATTATCAGATTTCATTACATTAACTGACATGGTACTTCTTTCTGTCTAATCTAATTAGCATGATGGAACAATCATAACAATGTTTCCCATGAAAGATCACACACATCTTGATTTTAGGCCTTTGGAAAATAAGTTACCTCTTCTGTTTTACTTTTAGGAAGATGGATGAGCCCGATGTCGGCAAGTAAAGTGCCAAACTCTATCCTCAGGTCACTGATATTCGTGAAAAGCAACACATAAGACACAAATGATGTATACATATTCTTACCGTCAAGAAAAGGAGTTTAAGGTCCCCCGAGAATAATAGAAAGGTCAACGAACAAGTATTTGAGTTACCGGACAACAAACCAAAACAAGTTAATGCATTGAAGTAAGGTGTACCTTATCGTCCGCATCACTGAGCTACTAATAAACTTTGAGTCACAGAACCTCTCTGCAGCTTGAGTTCCTTCCTGAAGAAATTACAAACACACAAGGCAACGTGACGTCCTCCGGAACTCTCTAGATTACTCATGCTATATCAATTAATACTTCTACTCATCTGTTAAAATCAGTCTTTATTCACAATATAACCCAAAACCACTCTTTAACGAATTAGCTGCAACAAGAGGCTTAGAAAGATACATTGCTTCCCAAGAGCTTGTTTTGTTACTAAATGCATGTATTCTATCAGTTCAGTTTCTTGTTTCTACGAAACATTTACCAAAACCATAATAAAGTGAATTTGTGCCTAGATCTACTATTTGGCTATAACATAAAGTAATACACAGTAAAAGCTGTTAACATATAGTTCTTCCCGAATCCATTTTAAGATTAAAAAGAATGCCCCAAGATAACCAGGTTCTTTAAAAACGGGTTGGTTCAGTTTTTGCCACTAAGAGAAAGGACATATCTAAGTAGCCATGTATATCTAACAAACTTTTGCAAGGGACAGCTAGTGATGCTCTCTTATCACATACCTCATGCATTATCTTCACCCATTTCTCGTAAGCAACCACCATAAGGAGGTGATCAGATTGTCTGTCATTGTTGTTTACATTACTCGAACTCTCCGGTTTATCCGACAAAAGAGCAAGTTTCACCCGATCCACATCTTGCTTCTAAGAAGAAAAAAACACCACACATAATGCTCGTTGACAACATCATTGCACAAGTCAGCCAAATTCCAAGAAAGTGAAAATGTACCTGATCTTTGGGATATGTAAATGGCGATTTGTGGCTCAAGAAAGCAGCAACCGAGAGAATAGGTGATAAGCAACCAAAAATGGCACCATATAACAGCATCTGCAGTTTTTAAAACGAATGAGCGTAGATGTTGTGAGGACAGGAATAAAATCTATGTTTGAGAGGCAGTGACCGATGCCTCTTTTGATGAAAAAATGATGTTCCTGAGCAAACCTTTCCAATCAACACATCAACAGGAAGTTTTGCTAAATGATGCCCAAGTGGTGTCAAATCTTCGTCCCCTTCAATAGCACCGACCTAAAGAAGACATGGTTCATTAAAGATGGCTCAGCACAGTATTGGTTGAGAAAACATAGAGTATGTGAGTTCTAAAATGTAACAAACTTCTATCCAATACATGTACATTCCAACATGGTACCTTGTGCAACAATGAAATTGCAGAGTTTATAGCACCTTCACTTGGGGGTTCCAAAGCCTGAAGATAGTACGTGAAAACGAGTAAGACGATAGATAGTTTTAGTTATCTTTACTGAAAAATGGTGTCACTTGCCTTGGATAGAAAAGGCTTAATGTAACCCAAGCCAATCAATTTGATTTGTAAACACAGTTCTACTAAAGGCACTCGCAGCATCTCAGGTACCTAGCCACCAAGATTGAACCAATGAGTCTAGGAGTGAAAAACAAGAGAACAAGAAGCCAGGGAAGGAGCGCCTAAAAGAAAGAAACCTGATAGGGACGCATAAGCTTCTCGAACCGATGGCGTGTGTACAATGAAAAGCAAATTCCAGGTTTGACACGTCCAGCTCTTCCCGCTCTTTGCCTTGCATTTGCTTTAGATATCCAATCTTCCACCATGCTTGATAATTTCTTTGATGATAAAATAATTGAGCACCCAAAAATGACAAATTGACAACGTGGAGACAAAAACCAAAATTCATAAGGCAACCAAATGTCATCAATAGCGTTTATAAATCCAGCTTATTGCATATTAAGTTTTAGAAAAATGATACTTTGACATTTTAGTTTAAAAGGAAACAAACATCATAACATTGGATGTTAGTACAAGCATCATCATACAAGGAAAATGTTAACTGATTCACACTAGCATTTAGAATACCTTCTGTGGATTATAGCGGTTTTCCTTGTGTTTGCCACTGTCAATCACATACACCACATCATCTATTGTTATACTGGTCTCTGCAATATTTGTAGCTACGATAACCTGAATATTAGAAGTGATGCAAAAGATGAATTAGACCACGTAAACATTATATTTTCAATAGGATTGCCGCCTTATTTAAAAGATAAAAGACACATGAAACTCATTCAACTATAGAAGGTGGTAAGGAAAGTAGTGCATGGAACACATTTACTTTGACCACTAGTAAATTTTTCATATCACTTAAACTAAGTTAGTAGTTGATAACTAAGGAAACAAAACAGTTGCACGAGACAGAAAACAAGTCTTGTAACATGGCAATCCTAGAGGCTATATCCCTTAACAGCTTTAGAATGTTTTCCAATACGCAAAATGCAAAGAAGTAAAGATAGAGCCAATAAATTTGCTCACCGGGAACACACGGAGCAAGTGACAGATTCAAAGTAGAACGAGGACAAGAAAAGTAACATAATATATATATCACACGAGACTACCTTTCGTATTCCTTTAGGGGGGCGCAGAAACACATTTTTCTGTTCTGTATGTGCAACCGAAGAATGTAGAGGAAGAAGCCAATCTTTAGCACGTCCGCGAAAACGATGGGAAGCAGCTAACCTATTTAGTAACATGTTAATTTCTGGCATTCCCTGTTATTAACAAAACAAATGTCAAGTTGAGGCGACAGACAAGATGATTGGTTCTCAAATAACTCATGAGATCCCAGTATCAGCTTACAGGCAAGAATACAAGAATGGCTCCTTCCTCATGAGTGCCATCAATGTAGCATATCAACTCTTCAAGAAGCTCGTAGTCAATAATATCCTCATTTAACCTTTTCTGCACAGCACTCGCAAGTTATTTAAACTCACGACGATAAGTGAAACAAAAGTTCAAAGTGTAAAGGCAAAGTACCAGATTTTCTTTCGTGCGATCACTGTAAGATTCGTAATTACTGGAAACGTAAGACGAGTTGAGACAGTCCTCTGTAACCAAATAATTGTCTCCCCAGCCAGCCAACATAAGATTTTTCTTTCGACCACGGACCTTCAAAGAACCAAGCTGCAGACAGTTGAATCCATGTATTAAAATACACTAACAAAAGTTTGTATAATACAATCTAAATGAATTTTTCAGTATAGCATCACTAGCATCCAAATTTCAGAATTCTGTATCACATATAAGCAAAAGTTACTAACATATTAACACCCAAATAAATCATATTTGGATACAAAATAAGTACCTCGTCTTTATTGGACGTGTCAGATCTTAGTGCAGCAGGAGAATCTGGAGCCAGAAGGTATCTAGTCTTCTCATAGATATCTTCCAGAAAGTGATAAGTAACTGGGTGCATTCGTCCTTGAGCCGTAAGTACAGGACATTGCCCAAAATATCTTGAGAATTGATTGGCATCTACAGTTGCAGACCTGAAAGGGCATCAGATGCATGAATACATAGAATGTTAACTTACTTTGAAGAATCCATATGAATACAAAAAGCTGCAAATACGTACATAAGGATAACTTTCAGTTTAGGTGATGATCTATCGCAGGCTTGCTTCTCAATCAGTCGCTTCAAAATGATGAGAAGGAAATCACTCTGAAATGGTTATAGGAAAATTAGTTTTTCTCACGTACAAGTTGATTCTAGAATTTATCATGAAAAGAAAGAGTTTATTTAACCAAAAAGAGTGAAGGGCATTTTCTGATTAGATTGTTTAAAACTTGCAAAATGACAAATCAATAGATTTGACCACCAAGGATTTGGATTTCCTGGGTTTATTTTGCTTAACAATGATTATATTTATTCATACACAAGCTTTAAGGTTTAATTATTAATGATATTACATTCTTCGAAGAAATGAATACTCACCGTAAGAGACCGCTCATGCACTTCATCTACTATAATATGTGTAACATCTTTCAAGGTTTTATCCCCCTGCAAGCAAACATTTAAAAAGAATAAAAATTAATTCAAGATTAAGAAGTGATAGTATTCTCTACATACTTTAGCTCTTATATAAGAAATTTGTGCAACTAGCTGATACTACTAATAACAAAAAAATTCATGACAAGCAGTCAAAAGACTCTTTTACTACCCTTTGATGCAAGCAACTACTCAACTACTGGACTCTCAGTGTTATCTTTAATTAACAGAGACACAAGTATTGTTATCTTTTCTGCAAGCTCAGGATTTTTAGAAAATACAATTTTGGTAATGCAGTTCTGTTATTGCCCCCTTTATCCAAATCCCAGAATGCTTGTGCAACCAAATGAACTATTTCTCAGTATATTATATTGATATAGAACAGTAAAAATGATCAATTGCTTGCACAAGGGCTTAGTAACAAAATAGAGGACCTACCGCAAGTTTCCTCAGTAGAATGCCAGTAGTACAAAACAGCAGCCTTGTATTGTTACTCCTAAACAGTACTCAAAATAAAAACATGCATATATTATGACCAGCTGATGATACCAACCATATCCATTGGTGAAGCGAAGTATTGTTATCTTTAATTATTCACAATTCCAAAACATAGACCAAATGAAGAAATGTTTAAAATTATGACGCAGACCTTGCACTTTGATGACGAACTTGATAACCTACCACGGAGTCACCTAAGCCTGGAGGGCACTCACAGCGCTCGTCAGCAACTCTTTGGGCAACGGAGATAGCCTAGACCATATTACATGACAACATTCAGCTTTGCAAAAGTTAAAGGATCAATGAGAGTTAACAGATCGCAGTTTATATCAGTATAAACCAAATAAACAATTCCTGAAAACATGACTTCTGAACAGCTATACTCACTGCCATCACCCTTGGTTGTGTGCATATAATATTACAGTATCCACCATGCCCCGAATCAATCATATCATCCAATATGAATTGCGGAACCTGTTGATAACGTTTCAATTAGAAATTACTCGAAGCTAGTAGCTGAAAGATAAATTCATCATCAGAAGAATAATCTTATCAACATTACATAACATATAGGCAACAGACGAGATAAAACCTGTGTAGTCTTTCCAGAGCCTGTTTCTCCACACACCACCAAGACATCTTTTTCTTTCAGATGGTGCAGTATGTCATTTTTTACTTCTGATATAGGAAGAGCATCTCTAGTTTTCAACATATTCTACAAAAGAACAATAGGATTACTAGTGAAAGCTGTAGTAACAAAGGTGTTTCCATTGTCGTAAATAAAGTCCTACATTTCCTAACTGGAATGACCTAACTAGTGAAGCTTTATACATATAACTGGAAGTGTGAAATTAGATACATGAGCTACATTCTTTACAGTCTTTAGAGCCAGAACTTATGTTCAAACATCAACAAGAATAGTTACCTTGTACTTCTGCGTTTTCTTATTGTTTTCCTGTCTTCGTTTAAGAGAAGAACATACAGCTTCCATGGAAATATTTCCTGTAAATATCATAGACAAGATTATGCTTCCTGCTAGCGATTATGGCAGTAAAATCCAAGAAACATATGATTTAAGCAACAGATACGATCTCTGACAAACTGTATCCAAGAAACATACTTTTAGCTATATGGTTGGATTTGACAACATTCAAGTCGTCATTCTCTTTGACGCATGAGTCTACCAGTTGAAATACCCCGTGCATGCCACTCGGCAAAGCGTTCAAGGTGAAATTGTGGGCCTCAAGCAAGCTGTCAACAAACTTTTCTCTTCGTTCTTCTTCTCTGCTTTGTATACCCAATGATTCCTCTGTGAAAGCCCAAAGCAACTCTGTTAGAGTGATTATCATATCCCAAACATTCAAAACTTTTAAGGACATAGCTGGATGTCTCATTGAAAGTTCGTTAAAAATAAAAATTTACAAACTCACCTTGTTTCCAGACCAAAACTAAAGAGGCATAAGGCTCAGTTATTGCAAAGTGAACAGGCAAATCAGGAAATAACTTATGAAGAGCAAATGCCGCAACTCTATTTTGTGCATCCTGTCACACACAAGTGCAGAATAATTAGTTAGCTGATTAAATAGTCAATATATAATACAAACACAGAGAATTGTTTCCAGTCAAGATCTATTATAAAGTTTATATTCAGATGATTGTAGACCTTTCTTTCTAGATGTTTTAATTTATTTTCCTCAGAAGCTCGCAACGTTGTTAATTTATAAATCAAGTGAATACCTCGATAGATGCAAAATCGTCAACTTGATGAGGAAGTTTAATAGTTACCAAACCTCCACCTTGTTTGCTTTTACCATATCCACTGGATTTACACATAACACTTATAGTATATGAGAAATTGCTTCCTTCCCCAGTTATTTTATTGAACTTCGGTGCTTCCCACCCTGACTTTTGGCACAGGCGATGAAGCAATGCCTTTGGAATCTTTTGGGCTTCACCCTGTAAAACTTCTACATGTTAAAGAGACAATCTAACAAAGTAATCAAGCATATGTTAAAACCTGAGTAGAACGTTATTGGAAGTCAACTGCTTAGTCATAAAGTCAGCATATGTGACAAAGTGACAAATAGAAGCACGCAAATACTCAATAAAAGAATCAAAGACCTAATACGTCTAATAGTAATCTGAAAAGCTAAATAGTATTTCTCATGTGATCTTGTTACGTGAAGAGTTACCTTCTTCCAGATACCCTCCAGCTTTCCAAGATGTGTCTCATTCTGTAGTTCTCTCATAATTTCCTTCTTCTGTAGTTCCAGGAGTTCATGAGGCGAAGGTTCATAAGGGGGAACATCTTCTGAGAACAAATCCCCAAGCTCCATGTCATCAAATATATCTTGTCCTGAGGAACTTAAGGGAAGAGCTTTAAGTTGAATTTTCTCAGAACTCCGGCTTCCAACAAGATTTGCATCCAAGTTCATGTCATCTAACAGCTGAATAGAGAGAGCATCAGCAATTACTGACTCATGAACGTCATCACGCTTGGGGGATGTTACTTCTTTTTCTGAAGCGTCTTCAAAAGCTTGTTCACGCAGAAACTCAGATTCTAACATTGCTTCTGATATCCCTGCAAAACATTTACAGATAGCTCATGACCTACTGCACCAAGTCATGATTGACACTTATTACTTAACAAAATACCAGGCAACTCTTGCTTGAGCTTGCAAATGGCTAGGCCTGCTTGCTTCTGTCTACTTGCATCACCCTTTCGCTTTGCTTTTATAGCATCAGATCTTTCCAAACAATATTCTTCGGCAATCACATCGAAAGGCCTTGGACCAGACACCTAGTACGGGAAGTAATAATTTATCACACTACATAGGCGAAATATAAATTTAATAGAATACTTCCAAACCTTAAGTAAATTCTCTAATGTATTAATTAAATAAGCTTCACCCACGTGATAGCCTTTTTCAGCACAACAACAATTCATAATACAACTCCAAAAGCTTTCAAAGTATTCATACTTCTGGAAAAACACCATTCTATAACATACAAGTGAACTGCATAGGTACATCAGTAGAGTACCTCCTCATCGTCCGAAGATTCCATTTCTTCCTGAAAAATTTAACTCAAATATTTAAATATTGTCTTGCTTTTGCTTCTGAGAAAAGTGGTTGAAGAAATTTTGTAAGTACCAACCTCTTCCTGTCTTCTCATGTACTGACGAATCCAATCAGCTTGAGATGAATGGCAAGAACTAAGTGTATCTTCTTCATCTCGCTTTCCCTTCACTTGAACTAAAACTTCAAGCTCCTCCTGCTTTTCTTCACCCGAAGACCCGTCTGCTTCACCAATAGGAAGGCACAAGCATCAATACACAAGAGTTTAAACGGCTTCATTTTACACATACCTTTGTGGGAAGATTCAGCAGCAGGTTGGTTCCAATCTTTCCTTTTGCTCGTTATCACACTCACAGAACCTCCTGATTCACCAATACGACAGTGTATAAGCATTAATGCAACACAAACAGTTCGCAGTGAATATTAAAAGCATATTACCTGTAGTAGGAAAATGAGAAGCTGCACAAGAAAACTTTAACGGCAACTCGTGACTCGGAAAGTTCAAACACAGCCAGTCAAATGCACTCTCAAACGTCGCACCATCCTTAAACATAAAACACACACACAAATGTGTAAATAAAAATAGAGAAAATTACTGAAATTCTATTAAAAAAAAGTGAGAGTTAGTTACTGTGAGAGAGGAGAGAGCGGATTCAATCTGATCATCTGAAAACTCTTCGCAAGAGAGTTTCTCGTAGAGATTAATGAGTTTCTTCTTCTTGTGAGCCTTAGAGAGCGCGTTATGGACAGGAGACCTAACCGGAGAAGCGGTCCGGCGAAAGTTGAGGAGGAGCCGTCGCAAGCGATCCTCGTCCTCAGGAGAAATCAGAAGCTTAGGGACTTTACATGGTTTCTTGTGGTTTGAATTCGGAATTGAAGAAGTAGGAGTAGGTTTGTTGTTGGTTTGATTCTTCTTCTGAGGTTTCTTCTTCGGTGCCATTTCTCCGAGTCGTACGATCAGTCAGGGAAGAAGAAAACTGTTCATTTTCCAGTTTTCGATGTTTTTTTTTTCTTTTTTAGGGCTTTTTCGTTTCGAGCCAAAAGTTTGAATTGCATTTTGAACTTTTGCCCCTTCAACTATTTTTACCTTTTTCATATTTCCCTTAAGTTTTTTACTGTAATAATGTTAAGATTTTAATTTCATTTTTCGATTTTTTGTAAGAAATCACATAAATTAATAGGAAAAAAATTACCCCAACAACAAAATATAAAAATGTAAACACGATTACTTAAACCTTTACCGTTTGTTTTAAAAGATTACTAAATATATTCCCTCTATTCTTCATACAAATTAGGACTATTTAATCTAATCTGGATTTTGGTCCGGTTTTAGTTTGGTTTTTTCAATTTTTAATATTTTTATTTATAAATTTATTTTACCATATTAGAACCTTATCTAATATGGTTTGCTTCGATTTTTATATTACGTATTTTCAGTTTATCTAGTTTTATACCAAAAAATATTATTTTGTAGTTTAGTTTTATTTTATCTGAATTTTAAAGAGTCATGTTGTCAAAACTCATTTATTCAAAAAAAATCGGATGTTAAGAAATAAAAAATGTACAAAGAATAACAAAACAAACAATCAAGGAATCAGGTTTTACAGCTTTTTTGTCTTCTTTGTTCTTCCAAAAATAGTTCATGTTACCATCTAATTTCATAATTTGTTAAGTATGCAAAATCAAATCAAATGAAGATAATAGTTTAAGAAAAAAAATGAAAATTATTAAGATATACAATCCATTCGGTCAACTACCCAATATAGAAAAGAAACACAAAAGTAAAAAAAAAAAAAAAAAAAAAAAAAAAAAA